ACAAAGAATTAGTTACCAAAGCAGTTGCGCTGAATTTTTTTTTTTTTTTTTTTAGTGTGAGTCATAAGTTTAACTGAAATTCTATACTAATCTTCAGAAATGTTCCCAAACATGTAATTTCACAAAACATTCATTCAGTAGCTTATTCAAGAAATAATAAGCACTATCATGAGCAGGCACTGTACTAGTTCTGGAGATACAATGTGAGTGACTTCAACATGGTCTCTGCTTTCATGGGGATTCTAACTTAATAGGGAAAAAAAAAAGAACAAAGATGTAATAACAAAAAAGTAGGCCAAGCACTATTACAACTAACCATGAGGTATTATACATACCATGTGCATTTAAGCTAGTGAAGGTTTCCCAGAAATGGTATTTAAGCTGGAATCTGAAGGATGAAGAAAAGTTAACCAGACTAAGAAGGGGTGAGAAAATCCAGAGAAAGGAAACATAAGAGAAAGCCTCAGAGCAAGAGAAAGTGTGGTAGAAACTGAAAGCAGTCTGGTATGGCTCAAATACTAAGTGTGAGAAGTGACAATGACTGCTGAGAACCTGTTAACCTATAAGGAGAAATTCAAACTATATGGAGAAATCCTAAAAGCAAGGAGAAACTATTGAATGGTTTTAAGGCAGGAGAGGGGCAGGATCAAAATTTATGATCACTTTGGTTTTCTATCAGAAATTGATTTTTTGTTATAAATCCTGACAAGAGATGACAGTGATTGGACTAGGGAGAAGCAATGTTGAAAAATGATCTGGCGGTGAAGAGGAAAATCAAAAAAACAAAATCATACTCACTGCTGTTGAGTCAGATCCGACTCATAGTGACCCCTCCTTGGGTTTCTGAGGCAGTACGCCTACGGAAGTAGATTGCCCAGTCTACTTGGGCAGTAAGTAGGAGGAGTGGCTGGTGGGTTTGAACTGCCGGCCTTCTGGTCAGCAGTCAAATGCTTTAGGCACTACACCACCAGAGCTCCTAAGAGGAAAACAGTCTGGTGGAAAAGCTATTCAGGAGATTGAATATAGGGGACTGGATATTTGACGGACTGTGGGAGAAGGGAGAGAGACTGTGACAGGAATAATCAGGAAGACTCAGGGTACTGAGTTCTGAAATTTGACTATATGAGTTGTATCTCGATTCTGTCACTTACTGCCTTTGGAACTTCTCTAAGTCTAAATTTTAGTATCTGTGAAATGGAGATACTATCTCTACCTCATGCTGTTGTTGTCTTTTCTCCTATGGAGTCACTGATGGGTTTGAACTGTCAACCTTTGGTTAGCACCTTCCAGTTAGCATCCAAATGCTTAACCATTGCCCTTTCAAGGCTCCTTTCTACTTCATAGTGATACTAATATTAAATAAGAATTCATATAAAGAGGTGAGCTCAGTAACTATCAAACAGAAAGTACATAGGAAGTGTTAACTGACATTATGATTATCGTTAATCTGAAAATATTATTCAAATAAATGGCTCACTTTGCAGTGCGCTTGTTTCTTGGACTGACAGTATCAGAGTATGAATCCCATCTGGAAATGCCATATAGTGGATTATCAATCATTCATCTACCAAACACTCTTTGTCTTTGTCTTTAGCAACACCATTCTGAACATGACTGTTGTTAGGTGCACGCAAGTCGGTTCCAACTCATAGCAACCCTATGCACAAAAGAACAAAACACTGCCTAGTCCTGTCCCATCCTCACAATTGCTGCTGTTTAAACCCATTGCTGCAGCCATGGTGTTAGTCCATTTCATTAAGGGTCTTTCTCTTTTTTGCTGACTTTACTGCACACAATAAGAGGAAAATTAGTTCTTGGCCTAATAATATTATCCCAAGCCAGGTCAGAAGGCTCCTTTTACCCACTTTAAATAGGTGAGAGGCCCATGGATCTTACAGGATTTATTAAGAATATTTTCTCTTTTGAAGGGCAATGTACCAAATGTGAGTGACCAATATGGCAGCATTGAGGATGAGAAAGACATAGAGAGCTACATGGGCAGTACAGACAACAAATATG